GGTCAGTGGGTATCGCAGGCTCATCCACTGCCCCCAGGACCCGGTTGGGATGTAGCTGGGGAGGGGAAGTTTCACTTACCTCCTCCTCCTGGCATCCTTGCGGAGCTGGTTGGGGATCTGGACCGCCCGTCCAGCCTCCCTGTAGGACTGGCACAGAGACCGCGGTCCCATCTGCGCCAGTGTGGGTAGGTTTGTCTTCCCCCTCTCCCGGTATCTCTGGCTGCTGTTGGAGGGGGAGGCTGGTTGCCCCCACTCCCCAGGATGCTGGTTGCTGTAAGGTGGAGGGATCGACCATCACCTCCTCCTGGAACTCAGGCCGCCGCTGAGGAGAGAGACAGTTGTCTCCTCTCCCTGTATATTATGCTGCCGCTGGGGACCTGGGCTGACTGCCCAGCATCCCTGTAGGGCCGGCAGAGAGACTTCGGTCCCATCTCCGCTTGCCATCTCTGTGTGTCCCCAGGACAAGTCTATGAGGTCGCCCACCTCTGGCTGCTGTTGGAGAGGGAGGCCGGTTGCCTCCCCTCCCCAGGACGCTGGTTGCTGTACGGGGGAGGGATCTACCATCACCTCCTCCTGGAACTCAGGCCGCCGCTGGGGAGAGAGACCGGTTGTCTCTTCCCTCTGAACGGTGCACTGCCGCTGGGATGGGAGGTCGCTGCTCTCCTCTCCCTGTAACTCACTCTGTCGCTGGAGACGGGGTGTCAATACCCCCAAACTCCACAGTTGGTACTCGAAGTTCCGTGCGTCTTGGTTCTCAGCACTCAACATGCGCATCACTTGATGGACCACCTCATCTGAAGGGTTTGGGCCAAACCAGACCAGCCGCGCCTTTACTTCCTTCATGAAATCAGCACCCTCCTAGCACTGTGACAGGCGGATTTGCAATTCACTGGCTGCTGTCCAGGGTCTTGCTAGCTCCATGTTGCTGTAGGTAGGGACGCTGCGCAGAGGCTAGCGTTGCCCTCAATTATAAATCCGTAACTCCACACGTTACCGGTGTCTCTGAGCTGCTGATCCTGGCACTAGGACGCCATCCCACCGGTGCCACCAAATGTGATGGAACGCTGGCACTCCGACTGAGTACCTCCGCCAATCGATGCTCCTAGTGCTCGCTGAGGACTCCAAGCACTCCAACCGACACCATCAGCACTGCAGACCCCACTTCCAGCCATGCAACTGCGCCGGGTTCTCTGCTGTCTCCACCCACCCTGGACCCAAGGCCAGGATCCAGCTTCCAGTGGGTGAACCTCTCTTTCCCCAGAGAGCAGGAACAGGAACAAATCAAGCTATTGCAAGAGCTTCCTCTGAGGAGTAAGTGATTATAGCAATCCCCAGAGTGTAGGTATCCCTTCCCCCAAACATGAGCCAAGGCTTAATGCTGGAACAAGACTGATTTACTGGCACACAGAACTCACAATTTATGCAACACAAAACTCCTCCTCTGGGCCAGGCTAGATAATTGAGTTTCTACAATACACAAAACTCAATTATCTGCTGGCCAGAAATAATACAGTTTCATAAAACACACAGGGACCCCAAAACATGCAATAACCCCATAAAAAGTATATCCTTGGAACCGGGGGATCTGGGTGAATCACATATCCAAAATTCACCCAGATCCGTTCAGTACTTTGGAAAATACAGTTTAATGCAGATTCTACGGAACATATACAGAGCTAAATAAAACAATCACTGTATAATGTGTCCCCTGCTGTATAGTCCAAAACCACATACGATGTCTCTGTGCACCAAATACTGGCAAGATGGCACCGTGTTGAAAAGTCCAAACAGTGTCTGTGAGTTAAAATGGCGCCATCCATTGTTCTCACCATGTGCTTCTGATACAGGAAATGGTGGCCACCCAGTAACTCCACAGTATGTCCCCAGATGGTTCTTAAAGGGCCAGCAGCAGCACAACACAAATCCATTATGCCCAAATCATGTCTTTAAGGGCAATACATCCCAGGGACCATAGTCACATGGCAAGAAGGGCAAGCAGGCACAAGTGTGAAGGGCGCCGTCACACATCTTCCCTTTGGAGACTAAACAGGTACCCTGACCTTCTGCGGTCAGTGCCTAGATTAGTCGGGCAGCCCACCCACAAAGAAAATACACCAAAGTAACCCCCCACAATAA